CAGCAGCAAGGACAAGAGCTTTTTGCCTGCCTTATCCTGCCCATGTGTCTGGGCTGTCCATCCCCCCAGCCTGCAAACTATAACCACTGCATGCTCAGAGAGCAAATTATTTGGAAAGGCCTTAGAACCAGAGGAAGAGATAAATTCCTCACCTACATACTCTCCTTCTCCTCATTAGAATAACCTTTTCAGAGCTCCTTTCTATGAGAATCAGAAACAGCAGCAGCTCTGCTGTTAAATTGTTGCTCTGTAGCAAGCCCCTCTAGGAGCCTGTCCCACTTGACACTTTATAGCTGTTAAAACATTGACCAGGACCATAAGAGAGATGTCCCCACTGAGACATTGCTCAGTCCTTGCAGCTAAACCACACCTGAGGTCCTCACTTTATTCGTTAGTTAATTGGAAGTCACTGAGCAGGACACTGGAAGATGGCTCATGACCTTAATATCACAGCATACAAAGCAGCAGGAGGAAAGAGATGGTTCACAGAAGTTTTCTTGCAACAAAACATGGTCTCGGTTGGAGAAAATTTACACAGGAGAATGCTAAGCTGTAAATGCCAAGTTAATTAGTCCTCATGCATAATCTGTTCTTAAAAATACACTATCTTCTCCTTCTAGAGGAACTAGAGCCCATTTCCCCTTCTGTTAGCCTTAAAAGTAAATCTGAAAATGTCATTGAAGCTTAAACCAAGAAACATGATGATGCTTTCAGTAGAGAAGCTTTCTGTGAGTAGGAGTCAAAAATCCTCAGATTTCCTCTCTAAACCTGCCAAACAGAAGGCCAAACAGCCTTCCCGGGGCACCACTCACAGGAGACCCATTTCACCGGATTCTCAGATGACTGCATTGTTGAGGCCCAGTTTCCCTGTTACACCAACTCCAAGACACATTTTGCCCAATTATGGGGTTTCTCCTTCTCTGCCAGCACCCAAAAAGGCTAGTGGCAAAATCCTAATCATTTTTCATATGTCCTGGTCTCCACTGACCTGGATAAAACCAGGTCATTGGGCTGCAATGCACTCGTGCTGGGCTCTATCTTCTGCCCAGGGATTTTGAAGTGATTTTTTGATTTGTGATCCAGGAAAGACCAATGATCAACTCCCAGTTACATTTCTATTTTCAAATTAAGAGTTAGTTCTCTCTGGTGTTGCACAATTTCTCCTTGCCGTTGTTTTCCATGACTCAGTATGTTTTGCATTTGTCAAGAGCCTGGTCACTCACCTTGCTCCATCTGATCTGTCTGTGGAGGAACAGAGTACTGGGGTTTATAGCAACACTTTAAAATATATTGGTTTCTCATTGGGTTCACAGGTCTCAGTATTACTCCTTTCCTTAAGCAGTATTTTTCAACACTGCCTTTGCCAGCATTGCCATTGAGATGCTTCCCAGCTGGCAACACCTGGAAAATGAGGTGTCCAGCTGTACACCCCTGGTTTGCAGTGGTAGTTGGCCTTGCCTGCCGTTTCCTTCCAGCAGTGAGAGTTTTTGGGTGGCTGGATTCAGGTCTTCCACCCCAATCTTCCTGGCAGCCCTCTCTTAGTGCTTAATCCCTTGGTAGGAGCAATTGCTGCCTTTCTTCTGCCACTAAGCTGGGGCACCAGCTTTCTGCAGCCCCCATGTCACCCGTGGGGCTGCTGCCTGGCAAGAGCACAGGGACACTGTAGCCTGCTGTGCCCCAGCATGGTCCCTGCAGCTTCAGCCCGGGCCAGCCCAGCCAAGCCAAGCACAAACAGCAGCGAGGCACTGCCAGGTACCACAGCACAGGGCACGGAGCCTGTGCAGGCTGTGCCAGCCCCACAGGCAGTGCACCCCCTGGAGGCACCCTGAAGAGTTAGGTGGTGGTTTTCTCACCTACAGCAGCGGTGTCTGCATTCCATTGCAGGGAGGAGGCTGTTTCTCCTGGTCTTTGAGAAAGAGAGGTGGGAGGCAGTGAGCAGAAAATCAGTGCTGGCCCTGCCACTGTCCAGGGGGGAGAGGTGGACAGCAGAGATGAGACACATAGGGCTGAAAAGGCACTAAGGGCTCCCCATCTTCTGCAGATACCCCACCTGGGTATCTGCACCACCTGGTATGTTTAGTGAGCACATAGCTTTGCACCACTTCCCCTTGTGTGAGTCAGAAGCTTTTCTGGAGAGTCCAACTGTGTTTCACAGTGGGGGCAGCCACAAGCCCCAGGCATCAATCCCACTGCACTCAAAAAAAGAAAGGGAGAAAGTCCCTGCAGCACCATCCCTCCAGCTAGTTCTCCTGCTGCTGTGGTTTCCTGTCGTTCCTAAACTCTTGATATTTTTAGGTTGTTGACTGTCTTCACACCCACTTTGAGAGTGATGAAATCTCATCCTAGGGAAGTGGTGGCAGCACCACTCTAGTAACAAAATCATTAAATCAATTGCCTTTTCAGCAATGCCACCTCTGGTGAAATGTCACTGACACCTACAGTGTCATCTCCAGAGACTGTAGCCTTTCGTCAGCCATGTGGTTATTAACAGAGGAAGAAAAGGAGGAGACCAGCACATGGCTGAGCTACCCCAGCAGTGCACAGCCCTTGAAAAAGGGAGAAAAGAGAAAACTCACCTTAGGAAAAGGAGCAGACTTTCAATTGATAGAAACCTGATACCTCACCTCCATTTATTAAGTGAGCAGGTGATAAAGCAATACAGATCTCAACCAATATTTGCCCCATAAAATAAACGCAGCAATACACAGCCCTAAAGCGTATGTTTATATCAAAATAAGTCATCTATCTGAGACATACAAATCAGATTTGTTTTCACAACATGGTGAGCATCACGTTATCATCAGTAATAGAAAAGGCCATAAAAAGGACCTCCCCAGAGAACTATTAGATAACAGATTACCCTGGAGATAACTGTGAAGAGATGACCCAGCAGGTCTCATCTAATCAGCTGCTCCACTGGCAGAGGTGATGAAAAAATGTTGATGGACCTCATCAGGACACAAAATGCATGCAAATAATTGCTGCTGGGCTACTCCTGGCAATGGCCTCTGGCTTTCCACTTGGATCAGCAGCAGCTGCTGCTGCAGAGTGGCCAACCCAGAAGGAGTTACAGTGGCTGGTCAGCTTTATAGCTGTTTGGACCAATGTGGTGGGAGGTGGTAGTGTCACGGGGAGAGCCCCAGGGTGCTCCTGCTCTGCTACTGCCTGCCCACGTGCCCTTGGGTGCATCACTTGCAATGAAACACAGACACAAACTGGGAGCCTGACAGCCACTCTCCACCAGATCTCCAGGACTCTAAAATTTTCAGCGAGGGTCGATGTCTTACTCACATGGGCCATCTTAATTGCAAGAGCCCCACCATCAAGATCTTGCATGTTCCACCAGCTTTGGAAGCTCTGGTGGACCTACCAAGGCTTCTGTTTAATGTCTTCTTCTTTGCAGGCTTTGTCTCTGCTTTACACATGACCAAAATGAAGACAAGACATTGGAGGGGGCAAAGGTGTTTTGTCCCACCACGCTTTGCTGACCACATGAGCACAAGGACAGTCCTGGGGAGCCCTTTGGCCCAGGAGCAGCTGGCTCATTTTTCCTGAGGCTCCTTGGGAAGGGGGGTTGTGCTTGCCTTCACCTGTGAGAAGTTTTTGTGCAGCATGACAGTGTTAATCAGCTGGGGCATAAATCATTCAACAAAACCCACTGCCACCCCAGGGGCTTCTCGTAACATCCTCTCAAAGCTATCTTTTTGTCTCCCAAGTCCTTCCTATCCCAGATAGTTTCAAGCATTGCTCTCTTCTCTGCCCCCAGGCCACCTGCCAAGAGGCAGCAGGTCCCTCAGTTACAAGGCCATGCCTGGACTTCCTGCAAACCCATGTCATGGAGAGGTTGCCAAAGGTGCATAGACACACGCCTGTGCTGCAGATAAGCAGGATCAAGCACTGAGGGCTTGCTGAACTGGTCCATAGCATTCAGCTGCTTTGCCATTTACCTCTGTGGCCATGCAAGTTCTTCTGTAGATACAGAGATCTGATGTTACTTCCCGTAGTCTATAATCCCTATGGACTGAGGTGAGCACCTGTCTCCTGTAGCAGCTGACCTGTCTTACAGAGCATTCTGTTCACAGGAGTCACCTCTGAAAGGCTTCCAGCACCAGAGCAAGTCCTGCTCTGCACAGAATGAATGGAATTTTGCCCATTGATTCTTCATTTGCATGTGCTAGGACTCTGCTCTCTAGCATCAGGAATAGTCTGAGTAAGTCTAGAAACCTGTAGCAGCTCCAGGAAGCACAAGACATTATTTTTGCCTGTACATTTATCCTCTTCATTTTTTCTCCACTTTATTGCTGGAGCCTGGTTTCTTTCCACGCTCAGAGAAAGGCAGCCCAGCGCCAAGGAGAGCCAGTTCTACTGGGCTTGGAGTGCTCCTGCTCCACCAAAGGTTTTTACTGTGGGACTTTGAGTGGGTAAAAGGATAATTTCTAATTGGTAATACAGAGCTCAACTACTGCTCCAGCAGCCTAAAGCCCATCTGGGCAGAGACAGCAAGTCCCTAAATTCACATTCAAACTTTTGGGGAAGACCCTCATCTCAGGCTTTTGCACTTATGTCTGTGTTCACATGGCTATTGCACACATGCCTCACTTCATCAAGTCTTTTGTTCTGGCCACTTTCTTTTCCTAGTTTTCCAGAGTTTACAAAGGGCCTTCCTATTTGCCTGCACTGGCTGGCATTGCCTCAGCAAGCTGCAGCCAAACACAGCATAAACACTCAGCTGTCTGACGCCTTCTCTGGGAGGGAGACACATGGCAACAAAAGGCTGAGATTTCAAGTGCTCACATTTAACCCAAATGCCTTGTGCCGTTTATCCTGCCTCATTAGTGCATCTCCACTGCTTCTCTTCTTTGGTCTGATGGAAATTCCCAACAGTATTTCCAAAAACAGTTCAGAGCCCCATCAGACTAAAGAGTGAAATTAACTCCTGTCTTCAACAGAGAATTGCACTGAAAACAAAAAAACCCCAGCATATCCAGGGAACAAGCAAATAAATTGTAATATCAGTGTAACTTTATTTAGATTTAATTTGACATTTAGCACAGTAATAAGCACAGAAAGAAAAAAGTACCAAAATACCAAACTCATAGCATATAAAATAATCAAATATATTTCATATTTAGTGAAATATTTCTACAACACATCAGTGGGACTGACCTGGACAGCCCAACCCTGTAAATACATACATATATATATAGCTGTGTTTTATAAAATATTGTATGTAGAGAAAGCACTGAAACTTATCACCAAAATAGAAAATAGCTCAAAATACAGATAGTTCAGATTTGCTAGACATACCCAATATCGAAAAGAGGTTCAAACCCACTGCAGGAGATAAAGCTCCAACTCAGATGTCCTGGCAGGTGAGTGGGCACAGACTGGCTAAAGATGGCAGGAGCCTGGCTGGTGGGATGGGCTCCAGATCTGAGCCAATGGCCATGAGGTGACAAGAGTTCCTGGTCCTCACCCAGGACCATCAAGACACTTCCTAAGTGGGAATGTCAGCGACGCTGTCAGTACTTGCGGCTGATGCTCCGCTCGGTGGGATCCATGGGCACAAGGTGCAGGGAGGATTAGGGGCAGGAGCAGCTTGGATCCTGCAGGAGCCCCCCAGCCTAGCCAAGCCACCCTGCAGCCTGTGCCCACCAGGGCCAAAGGGCTTTTGCTAAAGGAAGAGCTGCCGGACCAGCGCTCTCGCTCCTGTGGCACAGAGGGACCGGCTGACAGCGGATGCACAACATCACAGAGATATTTTTCTGATTTTTAAAGGTACCTCTTCAGCAGATGAGAAAGATTAATTATGAGCTTTTAAAAATCTAGAAAGCTGCTTTTGTGCGAGGCCAGGGCCCCCCCAGGCAATGCCATAGGTTTGTTTGTTCTGGTCCACAAGCGAGTGACACGAGAAGTAGCAACCCTGATGCTACAAGACAGTAACACCAAATGAAACGCTTGTCTTGGCAAAGACTCCCTCCTCACCCTGAGGGTAATCCAGGTTAGTGTCATACCTAAAATCCCAGGCAATTTGTAGATAGATATAAAAAATATGGCATTTCTGGCAGCAGCACTAAAGTACAACAGGAGATGATAACCCACAGTAGCACACAACCTGGCTGCTGTGGGTGCTTCAGGCTGGGTGCTGGGAAGGCAGAGGCACCAGTCCTGGTGGCAGGGGAGAACCAAGGGCACGTTGGGGCCATCTGGGTCCTGATGTACCATTGAGGCTCTGTATCTGATGCTTTCCAGACAACGTATTTTTGTGCTTGTTTGGTGCTTTTTCGCTCAATACAATGATTAATTTTTTTGACTACCCCCACAGGAAGACAGCCAAGGCTTCCCTGGAGGATCCCTCCTCAGTGGGTTTTGAGCCCTGTGCCAACCCCACAGTGAGCTGGGGGCTGTGGAAGATCACCCTGGGAGCCCTCCCAAACCCTGTTTCTGTGCTTCTGCCACACCACTGCGGAGAACTCTCTAACCCATTAATAATTCTGCAATTGCTCTTTCTCATCAAGCCAGCAGTTGCATCCTTAATTACATGGCAACAATACTATGCTAACAGGATGAGCTATAATTCCTAGGTGGTATTAACATTGTTATTTTGCTCTGAGTAACTTCCTGGTAATGGCCATTTGAATGTGGCAATATCAATTAAGTAAATATAAATGCTTAGTTCCTGGAAAAATCATTAATAAAAATCTCATTTTGATAGCCTCTAATGACAGCTAAATATAATTACTCATATGAGGCCACTATAAAAAGTATTTTTCTCATCAGAAGAAATTCATAAGGTTTTCCCAACTGTTTGTAATAAAGAGGACAGGTTATAGAAAAGTCCAGAAAATAAGCACACATTTGTTTCTCAAAAAACATAGATAAACATGACAATATCTCTAAATTACTGGCTACAAACAGGATTTCATTTAGCTCTACTCAAGCTGTAGCCTAGTATAAATGTTTTCAAAGCAGCGCGCTGCTGTTTCATCCGGAACAGCTGCACAGGATTTCTTTGATGTCAAGCTCTTGTGTGTGGATGGTGTTTCAATTTCTCTTTACGCCTCCAAACTGCTGGAACAGGAGGGAGAAGACACTCAGTAAAATAGGCATTTTTCATAAAAAAAAAAAAAAGGCAGCATAATTTGCCCTTGAATGCAGTACTAAGAAATAATTTATCACTGCAGTGGCAACAGAACTCGACTGCGTCTCTCGCATCCCTGTTTCAAAGGAGACAGGGAAAATACCCAGTGGTTTTGCATGGTTCCCTCACAGTGCTGTACCTGGCATTCCCTGGGATCACACACTGCCAGCTCTCCTGGCCATTGGCTGTCCTGGGCACACAGCAGGTGCACATGTGCTCTCTTCCTGACTCCCTGCACTAGTCCGTACATCCCTCAGGCACTCCCCGAGGACCATAAATACAATTAGCTGAAGAAGCTGTGCTCCTTCCCCACTCCTACCCAGGCTCCTTGAGCTCAGTGGTGTCCAGCACAGCAGGCTGGAGCTGCACAAGGGCTGCAGGACATCCAAAATTACTGTGGCTGGTCGTGACAGGCAGCTAAAGAAGATGCTGACCTGCATCACCTGCCAAAGATGCTTTCTTAAGCTGTGAGGAAACGTTTCTTAGGTTGCTCATCACTCAGCAACCACAAGTGCTACCTGCAAAGGCACATTAAGTGCAAATCCCCCTCTCAGACACTCGATGCCTGCCAGTTTCTTAAGTCAGAGGCAGGAACCAGTGATACATCTCTTATTCACAGTGCTCAGAGAGAAGGAGCCTCATGCTGCGCCTGGAAGGACAGGGTTTTGCCCTGCCTGCTGCCTGCTTGCCTGCAGATCCAGGCACCACAACTACACACATTTAGGAGGTATAGCATATATTTATCTTTCTCTGGGGAGATAAGGCTGAAAAAGTCCAGGACACTGGGAACAGCTGGCAGGAAGGCAGCTGGGGCAATGCGGGGAGAAGTGGCAACACCATTATCTCCAGGCAGGATCTCTCTCTCAAATATTGATGTGGGTTTACCAGCCTTGCTCTATAAATATTTTCCAGAAAAAGGTTTGTTTGGGAACAATGTCAAAGTAGAACTCAAGGAGTCTTCCAAGTGACCTCCAAAAAATACGCTTCCTAAGGCATTTCACTCTGTGTGTCTTTTCAGACACTCACTTTGATGTGCAATGTTTACCAGAAAAAAAGCAGCAAAAGCTGACAAAGGCTGCTGAAAAAGCCAGGGACTCCATTTCAAAACTAATGAGTTGATGAAACAATTTCTACCAGGGTCGGTGAGCTCTCTGTCTCCTGCAGCAATGATCTGGGGGCTTCTGCATGCCCCTACTGGGGGGCACTGAGCCATCAGGCTCAGGGATCCACAGGCAGCTCACCTCCTCAGTCAACTTACTGCTCTCCTGCCGCAGCGCTGTCACTGCCCACAAACGGGATTTCTTCCCTGTCCGTCTTCCCCAGAACAAGGTGGTGCTTCTCCATGTTTATGACACACTGTAGAGAATAAATGCCTTTAGGTAAGAGGGAAAACCACAATTCATAGTGGCCCCAACTCCCCCAACAGCATGGGTAAGCACCCCGCTGGAAAACCCCTACCTTCAGAGACTTCAGCGTCTGCAGCCCAAAGGAGAAGGGTTTCTCATTGTCTTCTGAAAAAACATGACTATTCAGATTTATACACTCAAAATGCCCTCCTACGCTTTTTGTCAGTGACTCCATCCTTCCTTCATGGCTGCTCTGCTAAATAAAACCCTGTTTGTAAAGATACTGAGTGACTCCAGAGGAGAAGATGATCAGAGAAGGGCAGGCAGATGCACCTACAGGGAGATGCAGTGGTTGCTCCACTGGCGTGGCAGAGCAGAAGCCAAGCCTGGTGCCTCCAGCACAGCCCTGCTGGACACATCCTCCCTCCCTCCCGCTGAAGGGCCAAGCAGGGACTTTCTTTATTTTAGTTTTAACATCTTTCTAAAGCTTCATTTTTGCTGCTGGGGTAAGAGGGAGTAGAACCCCATCCCATACCCAGAGGAACACACACACACACACACACACACACACACACACACACACACACACA